GGACTCTGACGGGGTCTGCTCTTCAGGGATATGTGACTGGCCTCCCCTCCACAGAAGCCACGCTCAGGGCAGCCTCCATTTGGGAGGCTTGGGTCGGGGTCCTGCCAGAGCTGCCTGAGGTGGCAGGGGGCGATCTGGAGTGGATGCCGCTCTACTCCCTCCGTGCCCTCTGGTGCTGCGGGGGGACGTGCGAGCAGTCCAAGGCACAAGCAGGCCCTTGTGCCTGGGGGCGCCTCCGTGGCTCAGTCGGTTGAGCATCCGACTTCGGCTGAGGTCATGATCTCATGATTCATGGGTTCGAGCTCTGCGTCAGAATCTGTGCTGACGGCTCGGAGCCTGGAGCCTGCTTTGGATTCTGTCTCCCTCTCTCTCTGCCCCTTCCCTGCTTGAGCTCGTGCTGTCTGTCTCAAAAATAAACAAACATGCAGAAAAATGGAAACCGAAAGAGAAATGTACCTAATCTGCGAGTTCCATCAGCATTGCCCTGAGGATGACCAATACCAGCCTTTAGGGTCATCTTTACCCCTTCTCTGAAATGGGTATGATCCCACCCACGTCTGCAAGAGCCACTGAAGGCTTGGCTTGGTGAGGCCACCGCTCCCTGCGTGCATGTTTTCCTCATCTCAGGCACTTTGCTGAACATTGTACATCCATGGTTACTCATGTAAATCTTCACAACGGCCTTTTGAGGTAGATCAACCCCATTTTACAGCTGGGGAAACTGAGGTTTACAGGCTAAATCTGTGTCCACCTACGGAGGGACAGGGGTGGCAAGGGACTTAGAGCCCCGGTCCATCCATCTGGAGCCAGAGAGAGTGCCACCTCTTCGATGTGGTTGGAAAAACCAAGAGTAACATAGTAGGAATAAGATCTGTCTCCGCCCCCCCCCCCCCCCACATCATGCTAAGCCGTTTTGTATATGGTGACTCATCTGGCCCCAACTTCCATAAAATGAGATCCTTTTTATAGGTGGTGAGATTGAAGCCGAGCTAAGGGGGATTTCCCCGAAGACCCCTCATCTAAATGTCAGGGCTGGGACCAGGGCCTCCATCTTTCGGCCTAGGACGCTTAGCGCCTGCTGTGTGCCTCGTGTCTGATACTCCCCACCAGCTGTTTGTGCTCCCCTGAAGGTCTTCTGCCCTTTCTGTCTGGCAGGCTGAGTGTCAGGACAGGGCGGGGCACACGTTCAGCGAAGCAAAAGAAAATTGGGGGCGGGGGGTTCAGACTTCGGTTCCAGCCCAGGGTCCTCCCTGGCGTCCAGAGAGCCAATGCCTCTTTCCCTCATGCTGCCGGGCCCCTTCGCTGATGCCCCAGGTGCTTTTCTATTCCGGAAAATTTATGTCTTGCGGTTTTGTGGTTGAGAAAAAACGATACTCTCTGTGAATGGTACCCTTGTGGGCCCCCGGGGCCGGGCTGGCAGGCCCCGCTGCGGTTTATCTGGGAAAGTAGCTCCTTGGGTGCTTCTGTGCCTGTGACCAGCTTTCCAAAAAGTGAGAGCGGGCTTGTTTTGCTCAGATGGAGGCTGTCGCAGGCCAGGGACCTCCATCCTTTGTGAATGAGCGTAGCTTTGCTCCTTGAGCAGAAACCAAGCCCGCAGATGCTGTTTCTTTACCAGCTCCGGGGGGGCTAGCTGCCTCCAGGACACCAGACCTGCCGGCAAATGGGTGACAACGCACCACGTGCCTACACCCGTCCCAGCCAGCCAGGCGTATGGGTTGTTACCCGGATGCAGAGAGGAGTCCCTTCACGCCCTGCCCCATCCTAGCCACGGCCCTGCTTTGTGCTGTCTAGCGGGGAGCTCTCGCGGCCTTTCAGAGCCACTCATTCCTCTTCTGGGAATTTGCCTTGGCTTTTGAGACTCCCAGGTTCCTGAGCTAACGCTTGTGCGGTCGGCGTTATCACTGTCGTTCCGGCAAACGTGTGCCCGGCGTGCTACAAGATGTATGGTGTGTTTATCCGTTCACTCTGCAAAGGGTTCACGGTGGTGAAGCGCGTGGAGGGATACAGACAAGCCACCTGACCGTATGGGCCCCACAGTCTCCAGCAGGAAGCAGACGAGTAAAATGTTAGAATTAGAACTTAGGTATGAGATCTGGCGGAAGAGAAGGCCGGGGGGCCGGGGAGCAGGACGGAAGGGCTGGGCCAGGGTATCCAAACTGAGTTTGTGGCTCAGGGACTCCTGGGGAAGAGGCTTCTGGTCCTCGAGGCTGAAGGGGGCTGGATGTGTTGGCGGCTGAAGTCGAGAAAGCCCCCGGCTCCTTACTGAGGCCAAGGGTGGCCGAGCTTGACGTTGATCTGTAATGGCCAAAGTCGTATGTAGGATAGGCGCGTTCTTGACCGGCTTCCAGGGGCCTGGTCCGGTCCTCAGTTCTTATGCCACTGGTGGATGGACCTCCCTGCTGCTGCTCTGAGCAGCAGCCAGAGGCCCGACCGTTTTGGTTAATGTGGAAAAGAGTGGTTTTGACTCTGTACAGTTAACTTGACGTACGGCCCTCTCTCCCGTCAGCTCTTTGAAGAGCAGCTTGGATGGAGGGAAGAAGCGACTGTAAGATGCGCCCTAACGCGGGGATGAGGTCTGTGCGTTTCCTTCCCTCCTTTCTCTCTCAGGCCGTTTGAGCACGTTGTATGCCACGTGCAGTATAGGTCTGTGGGGACAGTCACGAACGAGAAGGGCACAGTCCCTGCCCTGACATGTAATAACATGGGGACTTACGCAGCCTTGGGGGGGTTTCCTTCCTCACCATCGTTCAATCCCCCAACAGACCACAGGCTAGATAACACCATGCCTGCTGTACAGACGAGAGAACCAAAACTCAGAAAAATGAACAAACTTCCCCGAGGCCTCATAACTGTTAAACTGTTAAACCTGCATTTGAATCCAGGTTTCAGTTCAACTTCGAAGCCTGTGCTTTGTCCACTGCCCTGGGAACTCACCTGTGTTGGGGGCAACTGGGTCCAAAGCTCAAACATGAGGCTGCTGTGATAGGGGCTGTTGTTAGAGGTGTAGACTGCACGTGCGGAAGGGGAGACGGAATTGTAACTAGGCCTGGGAAGCCTGCCCAGCTCCGGCACAAGGCATTAGAGGAGGAAGGAGCATGGAGCTGCTGCAGGCAGTCTGAGCAAAGGCCCAAGGGTAGGAAAGTACAGGAAATATTTGAGGGATAGCTCCTGGGTAAGTGCGCGCCTAGAGGGCAGGGTAGCTGGGCGGAGGGTGGAGTGGAGATGAGCCTGGGAAGGAGCATGGGGGGATGGAGTGTGGCCCTGACTTTGGAATTGGCCTCTGGTCACAGTGGGAGGGAAGGATCGTTGTGGGGTGAGGCTGGACACATGAGTGCCTCTACTGAACCCTGAAAAGGGGCACTCACATCTTTTTGGTAACTGTGCTTTGAAGATGTCCCCCGCGGAGCCCTCTGAGGATAGCCGGACTTCAGGGTGCTCTGTTCAGGGCCCCACTTGGGGGCCGGTGCCCTTGAGTCCAGCAGATTGTGAGCCCGGGGCCAAACAAGTTACTGGAGGGGAATTTCAGAAAGGCTGATGGAGAAGCAATAGTTGTCTTACCGTTATGGGCCTCATTTCACGCCCCACATCCATCTAACCACAGTAATTCTTTACCTGGGGTCTGTGGATAGGATTCCGGGGGTCCATGAACTTGGAAGGTGGGGGGGGGAATGGAACCTTTATTTTCATTAACCTTAACTGCAATTTAATATATTACTCAGTTTGGATGTAGGCAACAAGGCACAATCATCTTATCAAATACGTGTGACTTGGTCACCAGCAAAAGGCACAGCTGTGTGCATATCACGGTTGTGGCCATCTCTAAAAAAGTTGACGCTTGTCACAACCTCAAAGCTGTCATCGTTAGGAGACCCACTGGCAGCTTTCGTTTCATGCTTTCGTAACGAAGCGTTTTTAGTACTCTATCACATTCTAAATAATATTTTGAGAAACGTCTTTAGATCTAACTGATTTCCTTTATAATCCAAAGCGGTTTCATTGGAAGCATTATTCTTAGAAGGGGACCAGGGCTACCTCCCTGGACGGCCAGAGTGGCGCCCGGTCCCAAAATGGTCAAGAGCTCCTGCTTGGAATTTAGGAGCCTTTCTAGATTGTTGAAGTCATTAATTAGCATTACTTCTTAGTATCGTGACAGTGCTAACAAACATGGTCCGTACCCTTTAGAGAAATACGTGGGATACTTACAGAGGAGGGAGAAAGGAATATGAATTTAACGACTTACACCCTTGAGGAGAGGTAGAACTGGGAAGTGGCCCCAAATGTCAGGGCTCCTGCACAAGACTTTGAAGGTGGTGCATGCCTTCTAGGGAAGCTTGAAAGTCACCAAGAGGCGGCCCCAGGAGTCTCCTCAGCATGACAGCAGCCCTCATGGGGCCCCTGGGTCGTTGGATCTCAGCGGAGCCAGGCAGCTCGCTCCATTCAAGGACCTTCATTTCTCCTTTCTCTGTTATGATCCCATTTCCTGGAGGAGGAAACTGAGGCTTTTTTTGGGGGTGGGGCTCAGTAACTTGTCCAAGGTCACAGGGCTAGAGTGTGCTTGAGTCCCTGGATCTCAACCCAGGCGGTCTGATTCTAGGCTGAAAGCATCCCAAGTGGAAGGTTCCTCATTCTCTGCGAACCCCCATATCTTCTCTGTTCTCAATCACCGGCCACTCCCACACCCCTCCCCAGGCAGGAAGCCCTTCTTCTGCTTTAACCCCACTCTCTGTTCTCAACAGCGTTGCCCACTGCTCTCTGGGGATCGTGGTCCCGAGGGTAGTGCAGGGTCGGCCAGCTTTTGGGGTGACGAGGGGGTTAGGGGTGGCTGTCTAGGCTTCCTGCGGGCTTCCTCAGACCCTTCTCCTCTCCTCCTCCCTCCCGTTTCCTGCTTCACTGCCGGGGTATCCGGGGGACCCCTGGGTTTGCCAGGGCTCCCTTGTGTGGGGCCGCCACATGCGTGTGCCCCAAACAAACCCGCTTTTTCTGTCTTGGGCTCCCCACAGGCCAAGCTGGTTCGGTACATCTGCAAGCAGCAGCAATGCAAGCTGAGTGTGGCTCCTGGCGAGAGGACCTCCGAGCTCAACAGCTACCCTCACTTCAGTGACTGGCTGTGTACCTTCAACGTGAGGCCGGAGGTGGTGCAGGTGAGCGGGTCGTGGGAACTCAGATGGGGGGGGGCGGGGCGAGGAGGGGGGTTGACAAGCAAAGGGACCACCTACAAACCCGGGGACTAGCTCCGCCATGACTATGACTGAAAGGCCATGCTCTGTACTCTCACAAAGGGAACTTGGGCAGAGGGGGGGGGGGGGGGGGGGGGGGGGGGGGGGGGGGGGCAGTGAGATCCAGGGTGATTGTGGCTTGAACGTGTGTTCTGCTGTGTGAGCTACACAGCCTGGCCACACTCATTGTTCCTCGATGCATCATAAGGACAACAGCCAACATGTCTGGAAACATCGGCCGTGTGACAATACTTTGTCTAGATAATCTCACTTAATTCTCACAAAACCCCGTGAAGGAATTACTGTCATTTACTGCCCTTTTATATTAGAGGAAATTAAAGCAGAGGACGGTTATGTAACTTGTTTAAAGCCAGCCAGACAGTAAGTGACAGCTTTGGGACTTGGAACCGAGGGTCTGAGTTTAGCTTTCTCTTGTAGCTGCTGTAATGTGCTGTTTTCCCTCCTTGGTGCCCGCTTTCCTTCCCTCCAACCTACCCGCCCACCACCTAATCCACCGGTGAACCCTGTGCCGGGTAGTAGGGGTACAGGACAGCTCTTGCGGGATATCAGTAAGTCAGTGTGTGGCAGGTGCAGTTCACCCAGTCAGGTCTTTTAAATTCCTTTGATTCTAAAATGAAAACGTTGACTTTTGCTATTTTTTTTAAGTTTATTTACTTTTTGAGAGAGAGAGAGAAAGAGAGAGAGAGAGAGAGGCAGAGATGGGGACAGAGGATCCAAAGCAGGCTCTGCGCTGATCGCAGAGAGAGCCAGACGTGGGGCTCTAACTCACAAACCACGAGATCATGACCTGAGCCCAAGTTGGATGCTCAACTGACTGAGCCACCCAGGCGCCTGACTTTTGCTATTGTTTTAAAAGCAATATGAATTGATTATATATAGACACTTTGGAAAACAGGGGAAAAAATCACGTATTTCTACTACTCAGCAAAAGTCTGTGATCATTAAGATTTTGATGCTTCCCTCTAGATTTTCCCCCCCAATACTTAAGTCTTTTTTAAAAGTTTTAAAATTTCTCATGGGTTACGGGTGCCTAGAGGCGGTTTTCTTTTTCTTCTCTTTAATTTTCACTTGTTTATTTTTGAGAGAGGAAAAGAGCGAGAGAGCTAGCCAGGGGAGAGGGGCAGAGAGACAAAGAGGGAGAGAGGGAATCCCAAGCAGACCCCATACTGATAGCACGGAGCCCGATGTGGGACTTGATCTCGCGAATGGTGACGTCATGACCTCAGTGGAAATCAGGAGCTGGCTGCTTAACTGCTGTGCCACCTAGGTGCCCTGGAGGCGGCTTTCTGAATCAAGAGGCAGTGGGAGTTGGCTCAAGGCCCATGAAGGGCACAGAGGGCTGAAGCTGGGCCCCCAGTGCCAGCCCCCCACACCCTTGCGGGTTCCAAAGGCCCCTCCTGGGCATCCCCACCAGGAGGGTGGAGGAAACAGGGCCTGAGCGAAGGGGGAACACAAGAAGGGCGGGCCGGGCTGCCTGACAGTCCCTGGCTGGCGGCTCTCCGCCTGGGTTTTAAGAATCACAAGGAACCATGGCCTCAGTGTCACTGTGTCTTCCCCAAACTCCCCAGACCCGTTTTCTCAGTTGTTCTGTTTTTTCCCCGTCAAATCTCAGATTGGTTCTTCAGTCCGGGCCAGGGTATTCTGAAGGCTGGAAAGAAGGGCTGTTTCCATCAGCAACCCAGGCCCAGCCGAGTGGGCAGGGGGCTGTCCCCACTGGGCTCTGTTCTTGAGTCTCTCCTTGTACCTGTGGGGGGCGGGGCACGGCCATGGGGGCCCCGCAAATTTCAGAGGTCACTGCTCCAAACAGCATAGAAACCCAAGTGTTTCCAAAGCCGACCTCAGAGATAGACCCCTTCAATTTCCAAGTGTCATCTGAACGTTGCTTATTTTCTGAAACAAACGTTTTGTTTTGGAATAGTTCTAGATTTGCAGAGGTTCTACAGAGTTTCGGTGACCCTCACCCCGTCTCCCCCATCATCAACCTCCTAGGTTCCCGCCGTACATTGTTTACACTAAGAAAACAACGTTGGGACATTACTGCTAACGAAATGCCAGACTCTGGAAGTCACCCGTTTTTCCATTTGGGTCGTATTTCAGTGCTAGGATCCAGTCTTGGGTAGTACATTGTTCTTATTTACATACAAATTTGTTTCCTTTTTATTGCTTTTTTTATAGTTGCTAAAATGGGCTCGTACAGTATTTTTTTTCCCCAGTCTTAATCTCATCTCCGTGTGCGGCATACAAATCCAGCTCGTTCCTCTCTAACACTGGACTAGTTAAGAGATGAGATTTCTTCAAGTTAGCTCAACAATGACTGAGGGGTGCCCATTGTGCACAGAGAGGCACACCAGAGGGCATCAGCCTGTCCCAGAAGGGTCTGTGTGCCCAGCCGCGAGCCGCCTGGCCCGTGGAAGCCCCTTGGCAAGTATTTACTGGGAGACGGAGTGACCAAGGAATGAACTGTCTTCTTCACAGGATGGAGGCTGGAGGTGGAGACTTTCTAACAGGGTCCTCCTCTCTCTGTGTCCTTTTTGTTTGGTCTTTTTTTGGAGAAGGGATCTAAACCGTGAAGCCAGGCCGTTTCCTTTCCAGCGCTCATGGACCGCATCTTGACCCTTCCAGGAAATAGCGGACATAGAGAGGGGGTGGGTGTGGCGGGGGCCTCGGGGTAGTAGATGCACTTCCTGGTTTCTGGTGTGGACGGAGGGGTTCAGCTCTCCTCCCTCCCTGCCCGAGTCTGAGCGCGGCCGTCTACATCTCTAGAGCCTGCTGTGGGTGCTTCTGACACGCATGGCCTTTGATCCACATCGTGGATGTCAGAGATAGACAGCTCGGGAGGCACCTTCGAGTGTTAACCCAACCATCAGAGAGCTTCATGTAAAGCGACGCCGTCCCCTAGAACTTTCTGTGATGCTAGAAGCACTCCGTGCTGCCCGGCCCACCGTGGTAGCCGCCAATGACATGTGGCCGCGGAACCTTCGACATAAACGATCAAAGCGACCGAGAAACCACAGTTTACCTTTTATTTTATTGTGATGACTTTTAATAACGTAAAGAGACCCATGGCCCTGGCTGCCTTGGGCGTGCGGGTCTGGATCCATCTCTGGCGGGACCCTGGGCTCATGGCTGAGATGCGGGAGACACCCCCTTCGGCCCCAGGAGCTCACAGGCTGCGTGAGACCTGCTGAGAGCTGGCACCCAGTGCCCTCCCAGAAGGCAGCTTGGGGTCCATGGGAGTAAGCGGGCACACTCACCCCGGGAGGTCGGAGAAGGACTGGGCCACGAGCGAGGGCTTCCTTGAGAGCCTGGAACTAGGCTGGCTGGAAGGGCAAGATGGAGGGAACAGCGTCTGCAGAGACCTGAGGTCAGGGAGAGCTGGAGCAGACTCACAGGAAGCGTTTGCAAAGAGCTTGGCCAGGGAGGAGACTCGTGAGGAAATGGTTGGCTCATGGAGGTCTCAGCGTGTGGAGTTTAGGGGTTGGGGTTTTATCTAGAGATTCCTGCGGGTGTGTGTGAGGGAGAGAGAGAGAACATGAGAATTGTTTTAGGGAAACTCAAACCCATGCCAGTGAGAAGGCTGGGTTCACCCTGAGGACAGTGAAAGGGGAGCCCCTGTGGGAATGCGGGGTGCCGCGTGGAGGCAGGGCCCTGGGGCCTGGCCTAAGCATGGCTTCCCCGCCCCCTGGACACCTGGGGCCCCACGCTCTGCTTCCACCCTCACCCCCAAACCTCCCGCAGGTTAAAAATCTCGGCGCTGTGTTCCGGCTGCAGCTGGGAGGGAAATGATTTCACAGCCTGCTGGCGTGGGGCCATTTCGTTTCTGCAGCAGTTTCCCCGTTGGAAGTTGTTAAAGGAAGTGGCGAGCGCCGGCTGGGATCGGTCCCAGGCGCGGGAGGTGGGTGCCGCGGAGGCCGGGAGTGCAGGCCCGGAGCCCCGAGCCCCAGCGTCCCTGGAGGGTGCCCTTGCTGGTGGCGTTTGTCGACCTGAAGATGGAGGCCAGTCCGGTAAGGGGATTTTGTTGCGGCCCCCACTGGGCACGTTTCTCTTTCTTCCACTAACCTCGTGATCCTGCGTTGGAGTCAGGCCTTCTCGGGGCTCCTGGGTGCCTCAGTGGGTGAAGCGCCTGAGTCTTGATGTCATGATCTCACGGTTCGTGGTTTCGAGCCCCGCGTTGGGCTGTGCACTGTCAACGCAGAGCCTGCTTGAGACAGTCTTTCCCTGTCTCTCTCTCTCTTTGTCCCTCCCCCGCTCGCGCTGTCTCGCTCAGAACAAGCTTAAAAAAGAACATCTAAGTGCGGTCAGGCCTTCTCTTGGGGATGGGGAAGAAGGCTACTTGATGCTTGCCACCATCTTGGTTTCCCACTGGCCGGGGGTGGCCGTAGCAACGTGTGGGCCCCGGCGGGTGGGCCGTAAGAAGCGGGAGGCTGTGTACGCTTAAACCAGAAAAGTGAGCTGGGTGTTTGGCTCCTGGGTTCAGCTTTAATCCGTGTAAGTCCTGTGGCCCTTCTGCCGGGCCTCTCCTCCTGTCCCTCTTCCCCACCCTCTCCTGTGGGAGCCAGGGTCCCCACTGTTCCAACAGCCTTGCTTTGTGGCAGCCGGGACCGCCTCTGAACGCCACACACACCCTCACTGGGCTGGGTGGAGGGACTGCCCCAGCGTGTGGGCCCGAGCGGCCTCCCTCGGCCTTGCTCCAGACGCTTTGAGGTCTCGGTACTGCCCAGCGGGATGGGGAGACAGAGGCCCTCGGGTCGGGGGGCTGGCGTGCCCGCGTTACCCAGCCAGTCAGGACAAGAGCTGGGGTTGGGATGTGGATGGGAGGCGGCATATCGTCCTGTGTGATCCTTATACCTGGGGGGGGAAGGGGGGCACCTCGATCCCTCTCTCATAGCTGAGCAAACTGAGAT